AGCAGGTTAAAGAGCAAGAGCATTTTGCTGATGGGCTTCTAAAGTCAGATGCAGCACCTGCTGTTAGACACCACTTGGGACAGTGAGAGCATGTGTTAGGTTTTAGGGGTATATTCTACTAATCCGGGGAGTTTAGGTCCAGACTCTTAGCTGGGGTAAACTAGCGTCATTCCACTGGCCTCACTGGAAGCCTGCTGATTAACTGTAACTGAGGATATGACCCTTTCTGTTTAAATCCTATGTAAGTAGGGTGACCACACATCCTGATTTGGCCAGGACAGTCCCAGATTTTGAAGGCTGGTCCTGGCTGGCTGGTGAAAATTAAAATGAGTGTCCTGGGTGTGGGGCACAGAGTGGGAAGGTAGAGCAGCAGAAGCTGTGAAATAGGAAGCCCTAGCAGACAGCAAGATTGCCCTAAAATAGATTAGCTTGATTAGTGGAATGGCCATTAAAAAGGAGATGATTGTTAACACCTGTGAAGTAAAGAACAATAGGTCATTAACAGGCCATTGACACTCTTAGCAGCCTGAATATTAATACCAGAGCTGCACCATGACACCCTGGTCCACCTCTGCCTGTAGCAGTGCTGCTGACTTGAGAGCCTAAGGGGGATGGGAGCAGTGTCCCAGATTTCATTGTCCCATATGGTCACCCTATATTTAAATAACTAATTTTGAACAAAGGTACCAGTGGATGGAAATATAATCCCACAGTGCCCAATTATGGATTCCTAACTCAAGCAAAATTCAGTGAATTGATCCTCCTTGACTTTAATGGTACTCTTACCTGCACAGAGAGTAGGGGATTGAACCCCTGGTACAATGCAAGCTAGGCTGAGTCTATTGCCTGTCACAATAAAGTTACAGTGAGGAAAAGTGTTTTGCTGCACTGGCTGTTTCCTCTCCAGTACAGACTTGGTCACCAATCAATTGCAGTGGCAGGTTTCAGCCTGTTTCTAAGTGGATGTTTGTCTGCCTTGCAAAAAAATCACTCCAGCCTGCATGACTGACAGCCAGTGCTCTGTGGAAACGGTGAACAAAAATAGCCAGAGGTGCTGCAGAGCAGGTTCAAGATGCACCAGGACAGCCTGGGAGAGAGAACTGGCCTAGTATCTGTCCCCCTGACACATGCCTACAGCTGATGCTCTCCACTCAGACCCACACTCCTCTGTCCAGGTTAGTCAGATCTTTCCATCCTTCTTTTAGCCCAAACACGATGCTGAATCAGGCAACAGACTGGGGTCTTGTAGGCTCACTGAAATTAAAAAAGAGGGTTTTGCATATCTATATCTAGATATAGATATCAATATAGATATAGATATGCAAATATCCCCACCATTGCTTTACTTCTTTTACTCTTGAGTTTTAACTATGTGTGTTGGGGTCATGGGGCTGGTAAGTGAAAAAACTCGACAATTTAAAGTGAACAGGCTGGAAAACATGAAGTATGATAGAGACCAAACTTATGTTTCTTGCAAGGCTTCTATCCCCTTCCCAGCACATGCTGAGTAATTCTGCAGCCTGACTTCCCTTTTCCTGCCTCCATCTTTTTGTAGGTACGTTAGCACTGGAATAATTACTGCTTCTTGGAATAGTTGTCCCTTAAGCCTCCCCATAGTCTCACTCATAATTTGGCCCCAGATTATGTTAGTTTTAGCTGTGGATCTGCCACTGAAAGGAAGGGAGCTAGCAAGGAGGGTGCATGCAGTCTGTGGTCTGCTACATCAGATACAACAAAGGCAATTAGATTTCTACCCTGTAGGTGCTTTTATTGGTCTGCTTGACTACAATGTCTTGAAAGCACAGCAGCATGTAATATATCTGTAGCAGTGTGGAGCAAAACGGCTACAGCAAGTTAGGGAGCCAGTTAATATTATGTTTAAAAATAAATGCTGCATATTACCCACAGTTCTCTGTGCACTGAAGGACAGCTCTGAATAGGTTCCTATTGTGGCTGCATGTCATTAATTGTTCAGCAAAGATTAAAAGCGAAAGAGGTCAGGGCATTGGTTACCAGAAAGATAAGCAGTGTGAAATTATTATTTGTCCTGCCATATGCACACACATGTAAGCATGAGAGAGAGAGACAGAGATGCCCTGGGTAATGCAATGCTTTTTTCTTACAAGCTATTGATAGGGCTGGTTAAAAAAATGCCTCTCTACCCCCATGGGAAACATCAGTGTAAATAAAAAACAAATCATCAAGGTTTGCAAAAAGAAAATTTCCATTGTTGAACAAAAAAAGTCCAACTCGTTGGCTGGAAACCAAATCCTGTGATTGGGAAGTGTCCCCCACAGGGCCAGCAGGGAGCTGCGTTTTGCATTGCCATGCCCTGCATTCTCTCTGTCCACCAGTCTCTTTGTTTGGGCTACATCTTCTGTGATATCCCAGGATCTCCCTTCTTGGTCACCTCTGAGCAGGGCTGAATTAACCCTTTAGTAGGCCCTAGGCAAACAAACTCATGGGCCTCTACTTTTTTCACTCAATAATTATAATATGTAAAATAAGCACAACTGGGCCTCTTCTTCACTTAGGACCCTGGGCATGTGCCTAGTTTGCCTATGCATTAATCTGGCCCTGCCTCTGAGGGTTCATCAGGGGAATCCCTGACTGCAGGAGATGCGGTGTGGGGAGGAAATTCAGCCCACAAACAAGAAACAGGACATGGACAACCCAATTATCATTGTCATCATGAATCACTGAATCAAAGCTTTCTGAAGCAAAATGTGGATTTTGGCCAAACCCTGTTTTGTTTTCAGGTATTAGTGTTTTGGAGTTTTTTTCTGAAAAGTGCAGGCACTTTTCATGAACATTTTCATTTAATTAAAAAACCAAATTCCTGACAACATTTTTTGCATGGAACAATTCACCCAACCTTAAATAAAGACTGAGCATAGAACCTACGAAAGGCAGAATGAAGCCACAAAATAGCTATGTCTGGTCATGAGACATGTCTCCAATGCATGAGATTAAATTTTACCTATGTCTCTCCACTATTAGTTTTTTGCACAGGACATTTAAGGTCATGGTACAGGCAAGTGTTGCTATTCAGGATGGCAGTTAAGTAGGTGCTTAACTATAAATGACTAAGTGATTTCCTGAATTATGGCTTGAGTGTGTATTTCTTTTGGGAGACGGAAGACAATGATAGATTGCACAGTGAGTGCATTAATACATCTTTTACTGTCAATATATTTGCTCACATTATTAACCTAAAGCTATTCCCATGTCCCAGTGGCTATTATTTCTGACTCCTCACATGCAGCTTTGTTGATAAGTGCTATGGCCTGGATTCTTTGCCTTGCACCATACATGGTCATCTAGGTCTGAGCACAGCCAACGCAGAGTCAAACGCTCCAATTTAGACCATTTTAACGGTTTCTACAATTCTGAGTTCCATTTTCCTCTTGTATGGGGCAGTTTCCAGTGGGATGTTTTCCTCAGGACATTCAGGGAGCCTGACTTCAGGGAGAGGTGAATAGGAAGTAGGGTACCCACTCAAATATGGTGGATATGGCTTGCACTACACAGTGCAGTGCTGTTAGAACACATGCTAACTAAGGGAATGGGAGCAGTATGGCCACATTAGCATGGGGGTCTGCTGGGGCTAGTTAGCCCTGCAGAGAATCAAGGTACATTAGCCAAGATGGAGCTCTGCACTAATGTGGCTATTACTGCTTCCGGTACCCAAAGTTTTACTGGCCCTTATTTAGAATGTGCTGTTAACTTATCCTTGGCTTCACTAGTCCTCAGTAATGCAGTCATTCAAGCTCATGCCCATAAAAAAAATCATAGCTTACCATGCCATAGTGTATTTCTTGTTCCACATACACATACACAACATCTGTTTCTATATACGCATATGCACAGGTGTATATCTTTTATATGTGTTATATATGTAGGTGTGCGTATATACCCATATCTCTGGATGATGTGTGTGTATACTGGAGTATAAGATATAAGGGAGCATGCACACATGCACACATACAAATTATCCTCTTACTGACTTTGGTTTTATGTTGATATAACTAGTGAATTCAGTCATGTTAATCCTGCTATACAACTACTCTAAGTGAGAGGATCAGACCCCTATTACACACCAGTTCTAGGGGGTGGGAGTTGTAGTATTTTGATTTGTACCATCTCTAATATTGTACACACAGATTTTTCCCTGCTTTGCCCTTTGACTAATAATTAATACTTATGCAAAGGGAATAGAAGATACTCCTGTTCTGATGTGGTAGCCTGTCTGTATGCACTCTGCACAGGCATGAGCGACTGCACAAGGTACAGTGCTGTGGAAAAGCAGGCCTTCATTCATATAATTTCTTCCTCTCTCTCCCTTGATGGGGACGAATTATTATAGCATCTCTCCTCATCATCTATGTATATGGAAAGATATCCCAAGGCCTTGGGCTTGATTCTACCCTTGGATGCACACACAGCTCCCATTAGCACCACTGGAGCTGCCTACATGTTCCAAATTTGTCCCTCAGGTTTGTCAGTAAAGAGGAATGATGATCTTAAAGGAATCCCAAGACTCAACAAACATCCTCTGCCAATAATCACCAACTCATTAAAAGTAAATGTTTCTTTTATATATGCTTGATTCCCTTTCTCCCCTGAAGGCCTAAACTGGTGGATATGAAGACCAGTGAATTAACTTCACATCCAGCTGAGCAAAGACTGCATCACAAATATTTCCCTGTAAAATACCATCGCTGGAGGCCACTTTTTTGTTTAATGTCCCCAATTCATTATTCATAGGCTAAAGCCATAGGAGATTTTTTCCCCTGTCCTACCCCACCCCCAGTGTGAAAGTGCTGAGGGAAGGAATGACTTTTAATATATCACAGAACAGCATCATTAATAAATAATACAGTTTTAAACCAACTTTGTCTAACATAACTGTAATTGAGTTATAAAAATTTCATATCTGATTTTTTTGCCCAAGTTCCTGTGGCTAGTCTGGGCAGGGAAGCAAAATGGGTAATACTTACTACTTCCTTAGCTGAGAGGAAGCTGTAGATCTGAAGGGTTTGGCTGGAGGAATAGCTGGCCTGAACCTCAGCAGAGATGCTTCGTTTTTCAGTGTTCTTTGAATGGTGCCGGGAGCGTCTTCGTCTAGCTTTATGCCTTTCCTCCCGAGATCTGTCTCTGTGCCTGCAAAAAGACAAATGGAACATCAAACTATTCTTACTCTTTATTTGTCTAACAGAAATGCTCAGAGTGGCCTAAGTGACACCTCCTGGTGTAGGATGAAGGTTACCTCATTGCAGCCAGCACAAGGCCTGGAGCCCATCTGAGCCCATAAAGCTTGGTGCTGACCCACCACACGCAAAAGGGATTTCACCCCAAGTGATAGCTAGCTTGAGGGACAGCTGACTACTGGAGGCTGAGACAAAAGGTAGATGCTGACTCCCTATTCAGGAATGGTGTTTTACTTCTCTTAATAGTCTGAAACGGGGTTATCTCTGGGCCATGATGGAGGACCTCCCATGTTTGGGTTCAGGATCCAAACCTGCTTGACCCTGTAATGACCTGGATACTAACCCTCTCTTCAAGTATCCCTGAGCTTTAGGGGAGGATATACAATCTGCAACTGACTGTGGCTTGGTCCCAACTCAGGAAGGGATTTGTGATCCCCAAGACCACGTACCTCAGACAGAACTCACCTTTGGCACCTTTGCTTTACCATCACGCTGCTTCCCCCTACAGGGATCAGTTACTGCTCCTGAACAAAAGCTCCTTAAAAGCAGCCAAACAACAAGGCTCTTTGAAAGCTGAGTGTTTAAGAGAAATAGGAGCCTGAGCAGGAAAAGGGCCAAACCAGCAATCCTGGCATATATCAGTACCTGGTGTTCTGGCCCCTTCCCAGACTTGCAACAAAAATGGCTCACCAGGTGCCATGGGCAAACATGTCAACTAGACACAGCATTCATCTCTGTGTGGACAGCTATTTTAACAAATATGTGCAATTTAGGTCATGCATGAGCCTTGCTGCTGATGATGTGAAGAGGTGACTGCCAGCCTGGGGCACTAGGTTGATATTAGGCTGTACCTGCATGGGGAGGATCACTGGCATTAGGTATGAAAAGCATAAGCTTCAACTACCTGAGCTCAAAGGCCAAGCTCCGATAGCCATGACACCAGCAGATGCAATGACATTCAGTTTTGGCTCAGCCTCTTTTAGAGAGAGACTACATTGATTGGCTGTGGGTAACACTGTGATTGCTAACACAACTGTTGCTTTGTCCCTAAGGCAGCTGTGGAGTGAGACTGAAAGAAAAGTGAACTCAGCGAAGAGCCCCTTACCTGCTTTGGCAGCTAGAGGAGCGGGAACCTGAGCTCTCTGACCGGGAGTGGCAGTGGCGATGGCGGTGTCGATGGGATTTTCGTGGCCGGCTACGACAGCTTGTGAAGCAGAAAGAAAGACTTGTTAATCTAGCAATGGCACCAGGACAGATAGCACCTGGAGGCAAAGTCAGCAGAGTCCAAACTGTAAAAGCAATACCAGGGTTTTTTAATAGAGAGGGCGTTAACTTTTGGGGTGGCTACCAAGAGATGTGAAAGGTCCTGTATCACTTGGGAGCCTACAAACAGGACCCCGCTGCCTTTTTCAGAGCTCTGCCATCGTTCACATCTGGCTGCAGGAATCAGAGGGTGGAGCTCCAGGGCCTGGGTCATTCAGGGGTCCAGAGTAGAGGATAACAATCTTGCCTAGTGTTAACCTATATGAAAATGCACTTGTTAGGCAGGCTAAAGATCACATTTGGCCACCTGTCTGCAGATGACCTGTAGCCTGGGGCTTGTCTATTCCCGAGCATATTCACAAGCATGGACTGGCCAAACAAAGAACAAATGCTCGAGCTGAGTTTTAAGCTCCTTCCCACCAGGCCAGTTTATTACTAAACAGAAGATGAACAAAAAAGACTCAATGTAATACAGAGCCCTTGGTGGCGGAGACATCCTCCCACTTTCTCCCGCTGGGAAGGGGAAAGCATGTCTTTCCATCTAGGTGATCCTTCCCTTGCCTTTGTAGAGACCCCAAAAACAGCTCCCCTAGTTAAAGAGCGCTCAGCCAGACAGAACCTGGTTAAGAGGCAGGTGTCTTTATATCTGACTTCCTGTAAGTCACATGCTCACTCCTACTCCGCTCCCATTTTTAAAATACCAAAACATCATAGCAGGCATGGGGGATGTGTGCACTGGGACCCAGCCCAGTGCGTTGCTGCCTTTTCCACTCCTCTTCTGTGGCAGCTACAATCAGTTGCGATGTGCTTCTTGCCAATTCCTAAAGACTGAGCGCTTGAGTGTGGATGACAGGTGAGTTTGGTGGTAGATTCCTGCTTCAGAATCCTTTTCCTCTTGTGGCTGGTCAGTGTCTATATTGTGTGCCAATGTTGGCTGTTCAGTGTAAAGACGATCTATCTGTTCAGCCTGACTGCGAAGCTGGAAGGGGGCAGCCTAGCAGTTGGTGGAGGCAGTGACTGGTTAACTGCTAGGGATATGTTTTCTGGATGGATGGGGAGTGGCTTGATTTCATGGCCATGTTACCTGACCCTTTTGCATTATTTTATTTACAATGCTTGCATTCTTGTCCAGATGTTGGGGCTTGGAGTGTAACTACTCAATAAGCATTTGCTCACACTCCACTGTTTGGTCTGGTCCTTTTTTCCACCCTCTTGTTATTATTATCTGCTAATACTGGGCATTTCAACAGGTTCAGATCACACAGGAAATAATGTTGCCATTTTAACACGAGTCTTGTGATAGTTTGTGGCAAGGATTTCTGAGCCTGATGTCTGTTACTGGACCAACTGCATGGGTGGAATAGTTTTAGACAATTCAGTGCAGCACAGTCTTCTTCCATCTTGCCTGCAACATCACTCCAGTGCAAGGGCGGGCAATTATTTTGGGTGGAGGGCTGCTTACTGAGTTTTGGCAAGCCATCGAGGGCTGCATGACAGGCAGCCAGGGGCAGATAAATATTAATTTTCTAGATGTTTTAGGGGCCCCGCGGGCTGGATAGAACGGCCTGGTGGGCTGCATCCAGCCCCTGGGCCACATTTTGCCCACCCCTGCTCCAGTGCTACCACAACATGATCATTAGTGCTTTTCTTAAAGCTCCAGCTCCCAGAGGCAGAGCTTAGAGGAAAATCATAAGAGCAAGTAATGTACAGGAAGCCAGGAAAATGTCAGGTTTTCTTCAAATAAACAAAGTTTCCAGCTCTTCGAATTGCAGAGAACAGGTTGCTTGTGAGACCCCATTGTACTCTATGGACTTGAAACCAGAAGGTGAAAAAAAACCCTCCACATTTATTATTTTTTAAATCCTCCTACTGTGAGGGCCTGAGTATGTGCATATTCCTGTGAAAGCCAGATCATTTTCCTCTTCACCATTTCCTATCCTCATTACTTGCCTCTTTAAAACTTTTGCCATTCAAGCAGGGAGGAGGAATAATACCATGTGACTTAGGTGGCCAATCACATGCCATAGAGAAAGAATATATAATGCAAATAGCAAACAAATGAAAACTCCCTGAGTTAAGAGGTGTTAGAGGCAGTGATCCAAAGAGGTTATTTCTGATGATCTTCCCAGGAGCCTGCAGATACAGACCTCCTCATGCCCCACACCAGGTGCATGCAGAGGTCACAGCGTCCGCTCCTGGACCAGAGATATACACAGAGGCCCACAAGCTCTCTTGACACCAGCATGCCCCTTATTGGTACTTACTTGGATTGTGATCTTCCTGGGGCAGGTGCTGTTGTGCTCTGCAGCCACTGCTGACTGGCTCTCAAACCAGATTATTCCCTGCATCTGATTTCAGTCCTATTCTCTGCCCCAGTTTAGTACTGGGTTCTGCCTCCCTTATCTCACCTTGTACCTTGTACTGCTGGTAGCTGCCCTAGAGTCATCAGACCTACTGGAGTAAAGTATCCCTAAGAGTGCAGCTACCTCTGGGGAATGAAAGCTCTTGGGAGCAGCATCCCAACTGAATCCCAGACTAGGCCTATGTGAAATGGCTAGTATGCGTTTCGGATTCGGCTGATTCATAGGACAGAGATTTGATTCGGTGATTTGAATTACTGTCCTGAAGCAATTCGGTTGAATCTCCAAATCACCCAGGCCAGGCGCATCCTCCGCCTGCTCGCCCAGCCTAGCAACGGCTGCCCTGCCCACTCCAGCTCCCAGCACTTTCACAAAAAAAAGCCCCCGCTCACCAGATGCTGCCAAGTGGGGGGGCGATCCCTGCTGCCCCTCACTGCCCCCCCATGACTGCCCCACTTGCCATTCCTGCCTGATGGGGGGTGATCCCTGCTGCACTGCCACGTGGGGGGCTCTGCACCAGCCCCCTGAAGCCCCAAGGCTGCTGCAGGAGTGGTGAGTCCCAGGGTTTTTCGCTGTCTTTTTTTTTTCTTAAAGGGCCGGAGCTGGGCCAGGTGGGGCAGCTGGTGTGGGGGGGCTGGGACAGCAGGAGAGGGGTTGGGGGGCTCATGGCAGAGCCCCCCATGTGGTGTGGGGCAGTGGGGGGCAGCAGGGATTGCCCCCAGCCAGCCAGGAACCAGTGAGTTCGGGCTTTTTTTTTTT